TTGACACTTACTAGCTGTGTGGCCCTGGGCAAGTCACTTAACCCCAACTGCCTCACCCCCCCCAAAAAAAAACTCACAGGCAGCCAAGTTGGGGGGGAGGGGAGGGGAGGCACAGCAGATTCGGGAGGCTCCAGTGACAAGAGAAATCAGCACTGGGCAGTAACTCGGGGCACTGCACAAAGCCACATGGGTTACCATCAACTCCACTGAGACCAGGGAAATCTAGCCCAGCCCCAATTTGGATAGACTGACTGAACACAAACGGAGGGATGTGCGGGTCCACACACAATCCCGATCACAAGGGGGTGGGGGGAACACGCAGACCACGGCCCTCCTCCTAGTTGGCTCCACAAAGCACAACACAAACCACAATCCCCAGCAGACCCCCTGGGAATCCTGCCAAGTCCAAGCTGCAGTCTCACTGAACCAGTCCGTGACCCCTGCAACATTGCCACTTGATGCACATGGGACCCCGAGTGTGGGCTCCACACAACATGGTCCTGGTAGCCAAAGTTCCCTGCTCCATTCACTGGGTGTGCACACGTGCACATGCACACGCACGCGCACCTGAGGGAGGGAAGGAACAAGGCTGCTAATGGCCAAAACACAATGACCCACCTGGATGGTTCAATGGAGCCGGAGCCACAAAGACAGGCTGCATAGGGGCCTGTGAGGGCACAGAGGCTGCAGTGGCGGCGGCAGTGGCAGCTGCCTGAGGATTTGGTGGGCAGCTTGGCAAGACAGCTGGTGGCATGGAATTGCCACAGGAAGCTGGAGATATCACCGAGGAGCTCATCAGCATCTAAATGTAGGAAGGAAGAGCTGTGCTCACAAGCTTGGAAGGCAGGCACGGCGAAGCTTTCCCATAATGACCCCAGGAAGGTGGGCCAAGGTCAACAAAGAGTAAAGTGAGCGCTGAAAGGGATGCTAGAGACTACCGAGTCCTGACCCCCAGCCATTCACAAGGCACAGACAGCAGTGACAGTCCTAGCAGCCTCTGCCCAGGTCAGACATCATCTGGCTGGAGAACCAGGTGCTTCTGGGTACCCGATTTTAAGGACATCAAAAAGTTGAAGGGGCAGCTAGGTGACGCAGTGGAGAGAGCACCGGCCCTGCAGTCAGGAGGACCCAAGTTCAAATCTGGCCTCAGGCACCTAACACTCACTAGCTGTGTGACTCTGGGCAAGTCATTTAACTGCAATTGCCTCACACACATACAAAAAAAAAAGTTGAGAGTCATGATGGTGAAGGACCTTTCCATCATGCCACATGAGCATTGGTCAAAGGAATGGGGAGAAGTGGCTTAGGAGTGAGAGCCAATTTCCAGGTTCTGAAGGACTGCTACACGGAAGACCTCGTGTTCATCCCAGAGGGCAGAGCTAAGACCGGGGATAACCATCACCACAAGGCAGATTTAGGCCCCTTCCAGCTAGCTCTGGGATCCTCCCAAGCTCTCAGGGGCCCAGTCCCTGTTGGTAAAGTGAGGAACTCAGCCTACCTAAGCTCCAACACCCGCATTCTGCTATACTAGCAGCAATGGACTTTTTGTCCTCCCCTAAACAGGGTCCTTTTGCAAAGTGACTAACTGACCCCGCAGTAGCCAGGGCTGGAATCTCTGCAGGAGAGAGACACACACAGCTCCCCAGAGCTTCTGAGGGCACCAGGGGCTCAGGAATAAGCAGCCAGGGCCCTTTCAGCAGGTACACCCTGGTCCCACCCAGATGGCAACCCTGGGGAGGTTACCTTTTGAGGGTAGCTGTAGGCAGCACTATCTTGAGGAGGCACAGAACATGGTCTTCCATCCTGGAGAGACTTGGATAAGAAGCAAAGTTACACACAACCACAAGGGAAACATGGGACTAAGAAATATGACAGAAAAGGGGGATCAGTGTGCATGTCGGGGGAGGATGGGGGTCAGAATCTTTCACTGGCTTCTCTGCTTTGCTGAACATGCTCCAGTATAGGAGGTGAGCCATGAGGAAGCTGCAGACACTAACTCACACCTCTGTCTGCCTCAGCTTCCTCATCTATATAATGGGTTAACAGTGCCTATACTTCAAAGGGTTTTCATGAAAACCAAATGAGATAAATATAAAGTACTATGAACGCCTGCCCTAAAGGGCCCTGGATTGTGGACTATTAGGATTCAGAGAGCCAGAGTTGCAGCTATCAAAGAGGCAGCACAGTAAGAATGGAGAGAGCATCCTTCTCAGACTTCAGGGAAATCTAGGTTCCAATCTGGCCTCTGACATACACTAGAAAGTCTTTCTTCAATGCTTGTTATGTGCCAGGTGTCACCTCGGCAAACCACAACCTCTCGGTAGCCTGGTCAGCTTCCTAAGGCTGGAAGACACCAAGCTGCAGTGGTTGAGAGGGAATTTCCTCGCCAGGTCTTGTAACAATGCTACATCAGGTCCAACCCCCGAGGCCTAGAGTTGGAGAAGAGGCCCAGCAAGCTGGTACGCTGCTCCCGCCCGTTAGACCAAGAATGGCCCGACATGGCCACCTTTTCCTAGCCTGGCTTGTGGCAGCAACATCAAGAGTTTTCCTTTTCTTTCCCTGTTTCTGCTAAAGGGGATAGGAAACGGGAGTGCAGAACGGGAACAGCCATGGTGTCGATCTGTTTTACTGAACTTTCTCATTAGAAAAGGACTCTGGTGGGGGAAGTTACAAAAATGGGGAGGATGGAGAACAAAACTTTTTTCAAAAAAATGCGTCTGATTTCCATCAGTCCATACATGACACAGATGTGCTAACACATAATCCCATCTAGTGTCTTGCTTCCTGACACATCTAATACTGCCTTTCAGGACCTAACAGCGTAGCCCTTGAGTTGTTACAATTAAAACAAGGTCCCCTTTCAGTAAGATTGCCTAGTAAATGTAAACATGTCAAAATCCCCAGGAGCACAGCAACCTGGAGGGGGGAAGGGCAACGTCAAGGCTCCCAGAACACAGGAAAGCAGACGACGATGCCTCCCGCCCTCCCGGTCCGGCAAGATGCCTTCACCAGCCAGGACCTCAGGCCTCTACTTCCCGCACAGGATCCAGACCTTGATTGGACCACATCTGGCCTGCCTGCCTTCAGGCAGCTGCATTCAGATCAATTCCAGAAGGTGCTCTAGAGCCCAAGTAACCGCTGGCGCAGGCCACCTGACAGCCAGGAAGGACACCACAAGTCCTGGCCTAAGGGCAAGTGGCCACGAAGGAGCCTCGGACCCAGGGCCAGCTGCAGAGCAGTCCAGGCTCAACTGCTACTTAGCCTTCTTTTTCCTACCAATGTCAAGGACTAGAAACAGACCCATTCCAAACTGAGTCACGACAGGCCTGAAATCCACATACTCTGGGTGCGCTAAAGTTGCTATGCCTCCTCCTGACAGCCAGTCTGAGCTTCTCAGTGGAGACCGATTCTGAAAGCCTCTGCGCGAAGTGTTCGGGGAAGAGCAGCAAGGTGGAGGAAAGCGCCAAGCAGGCTTCTGGGTCCAAGCCTCCTGTCCCATATGTGGATTGCTACAGGACCATTGTCTTTTTTTTTTTAAATTACAAACCTAATGAAGTGGCTTTGCAACTAGCTAGGGGGAGCATGGTGCCAGGGGGCAGAGAGGCAGTTCCAAGCCAGGAAGCCCTGAATTCTGGTCCCATCTCTGACACATCCTGGCTCTATGACCCATCAGAGGCATCAAACCTGTGGTCCAGGTCTCCAACTCAAGTTAGCACGAAATTGGGAAATATTTCACGATAGATAAAAAGACCACAGAACGTAGAGAAGGTGGACATGTGGCTTGCCAAGTCAACCAGGGGCCTACGGGGATCCAAAGGCCCTCGGTGGCCCCTGCGTGCATTTCGGTTTGACCCCATTGCTCCAGGCAACTCCCTCAAGACTGCGAGATGAAGAAAAGGTGCCTACTTGCACTGGTGGAGGGTGTTCCCTCTGCCAAGGACATTCCACAGTTAGTCTCCCTAATTTCAACACAAAAGGTCACGGTTTGCTGGCTGCTCCCTCCCTCTCTCCTCCTCCATTCCCTTTTAATTTCTGCTTCTCCATCTCTGCCCATTCACTCTCTGCTCCCCGACGGATAAAGCGGATATCCGTTCCAGTCCCAATTCTGCCCTCCCCACTTTGCCTGATGCTAAAAAAGGCTTTCTAGCTCTCCCACTGCCTCCTCCCCGCTGACCATCACCACCCCTTCCTTCAAGCAACCCCCGATCTGAGGACACACGGGCAGCTCTGGTTTGGTACTGCCGTGAAAAGCTCCCTCGTTATCTTTACTTCTGCCCACATAATGGGGCAGAGGTGAAAGCTCCCACTCGTGTACTGGTCTCTCTTGGATTATCAGCTGAGGAGGCCCTCAAAAGTTGTCTAGGCCAACCCCTCAAGCTACACTTGAGGAAAGCAAAGCCCAAGGCAGTGAAGGACTTGCCTAGGGTCATAAAGCTTGTGAGCAGCAGGGGCAGGATATGAACCCACAGCCTCTGCCTCCAGAGCTCTTTGCCCAGTGCCACGCTTTCTCTTTTGGTGAGGCTGAGCAGCTGTTCAAGTAATAATTAATAACCTGTTTCCTCTTTCTAAGTTATCTGCCCAAATCTTCTGAACCTTTGTCCCTGGGGCCTTTGTCAAGGTCCAATACTTTCTTCTCTACAGGAGATGCCAAATTCCAACGTCTGCTTTTGGCTCACTGGGCCCCCACCCCTCTGTCAAGAGGGAGGGGAGAGGCATGTTTCAGCACCAGGCAATCCTAAGGTCCTGATGGCTGACAGCAGGGATCAGAAGTCAGCTAGTTGGGGGCGGGGGGGAGGGGGAGGTCAATGCAGACATTCTCCTGGCTCTGCTTGCTGACCTCAGCACATGTGGGGCAGCTGCCAGTTCTTATTCTGATTGGAGGAGACTCATGTTAAGCCAACTCATCTCTTGACCTCATTGATCTGGAAGTAAGTGCCTCAGCTCATCTTCATCTCCCTAGCTCTCACCCTGCTGGACTTCGCTGTGGCCCAGCATGTGTCAGGGCCTTACAAAGCTAAGCAGTTTCCCCATGTCCTTTCTGGTTCTCTTTTCTCTATCCATGTGCCTCTCTGCTGCTTGGCTGGCTGAAGCCTCTCTCTCCTTTTTGCTCAGCGGCAAAGTCTTGACCAGACCAGCTCTGGAGCAGGCTCTAAAATCTGGGCCTCCAAATCTACCTTCCTCATCTAGGTTACCCTCGGCAGTCATGTCTTCCCCCCCCGCCCCAGCAGTTCTGAGGGCAGTTCATTGATAGTGCATTAAACACCTAAAAACAAATCATTCTCCGTGCTAGCAGGCAGCCGCATCCCTATTAAGGTGACATATACTTCTAGGGAATTCCACGCCCCCCTATTTGGTAGCTTTTGCTAGTAAGTCAGGATCATTGGGGGCTAACCTCTGAGCCAGCAATTCTGTTGAACTCACTGCTTTTCTCCATTTCTTGGGGGAGACTGAATGTTCTAGATTTACTTTCATAGCTGCTGAAAAGTATCTCATATTTTGGCTTCTTACTGCCTGTGTGTGTGATTTGTTTATTGTTTTGGATTCTTTTAGGGGGGAGCAGGGGACGGGAGGGTCCAGTCCTGCGCTTTCATCAGGACAGGGAACTCCCAAGTACAGAAAGCCTCCCCACTGAGGCAGATCACCAGCTTACAGCCTCAAGAGAGTTGCAAGGGGCACGTGGTCAAAATGGATTTGCCCACGATTATACAGTCAGTAGGCAGGGCTTGAATCCAGGCTTTCCCTCAGCCTCCGGGGCAAGCCGAGGCCTACTGAGCCACACTGCCCCACTTTTATGGTAAGCTGGCTAAGAGATTGTTCCTATCTCACTTGAATTGCTAGAATTTCCAATGTCTTTTTTTTTAAATCACAACCATCAAACTTTTATCAAAAATTTCTTTTCTATTATTGTAATCATTTTTATGAATGTTTTGGGTATTTACATTGACCCTATGCGTGATCCTTATGCCCTGAAATGAGGCATGTACATGGCCACAAGGAACCACGTTAAAATGCAATGTCCTCGTGGGAGCTCACAGCACACTTGCCGACGCTGCCCAAGTTTCTCCCCAAACCTGGATCTGCTACAGGTGTTTGCTTCTTGTGCCATCATTTTGGGCAGCTCATTCTTAGAGCTCATCCCTATTGTTCTCCAATTAATGCTATGGCACATTCCCTAGCAAGAACCACTTTCTTTCACATTTGGGCTCACTCCCTTGTCACTAAACAGGTATCGGAAAGTCCCAGTGTGGAAATGCCCTCCAGCCACGAGGATCAGTAATGTATCTGCACATTGTCATCTATGAGCTGTGTGGGTATTGCCCATGGCTCTAGGACCAGCAGCGCTCTCCCCATGAGGTCTTGCTCTCAAATGTTAACAGTCTTTAAATAAAATCGGGAACTGGCTTTTTCGACCAAGCAGCTTTTTGTCTGCTACTTATTTCAACTCTTAAGGTCATAATCTTGCCCTCTGTCTTTCCCCGGGCTTGGCTCCTTTTCTAATGTTCCTCGGCACAGGCTTAACTCACTTGTTGGCCTCCAGGCCCCTACAGAGAGTTAGAACAGACTGGACCACCTTGGAGACGTCACTATCTCTTCAACAGTCTGGAGTGTTTGTATGGGGTTTATGACAACTGGTACCAACAAAGCCCGTTCACATGGAATTGGAAATCTTTTACTCACGGCCTCATCAGCTTATCAACATGATGCACAACACCTCACTTCTGCCTTTTGGAATCTGCACTGGGCTTGGGACCTAGGAGGTCATCAACTGCCAGATGTACTGGATCTTTTTATGCTCCCAAGTTCCCTGGGTTCACTGGGGCCAAGAAGGCAGACACCCACAAGTGTGTGAACCTGGGATCAGCGTAAGGGTCAGTTGTGACAGGAAAAGACCTACCCAAAAGTGAGCACAGGATGCTCGTCTGAGTCGGCCCTGCCTGAGAGGCTCAGGCCTCTCCTACCAACCCTCCTATCTACAAAACCGGGAGGCAGCTTTGCTTGTGGGCCAAGAGATTTCAACTTACCAGGTTAGCAGTTGAATCAGCAGTGCTATAAACTGATGGAGTTTCATACTCTCGGTCTGAGGTAAAGTGAAAGGTAGAGGTAAAGTGAAAGCCCCCATTGAGTATGCTATCCCATGACATAACGGATCACTTTGTGAGCTAGGAACAAAAGATCAAAGATAACCAACCTGTGGGATAAACGTAGTCATCGTGATATTCGCCTAGGGAAAAAAAAGAGAAGGAAAGGTTCTTGACCAGGGATCGGTCAACAGATGGCTGCAAAGTCCCATCAGGGCACTTCCTGTCACCCACTGGCTATTTTGGAAGCAAAGGTGCTGCTCCTCTGAGAATCCCTCGACCCCAAAGGATCCAGGAGAGCCAACAGCATGGCAGCTGCTTCCAAGTTTCCTTTCCAACTACGATCCAGAATTCCAATTGAGGAAAGCCAAAGGGCCAAGCTACATCTTACATGTTTGCCAGCTTCGTTCAAGGCACACACTTGTAACTTCAACCTTGGTTTTTGGTGGACGCACAACTGCAAAAGCCATTATTACACATGACTATCATTGGGGGTCAGCCCAATGGTTCAGAATCACAATCCAAAATTTAACCATTTGCCACCAAATCAGGCACATGGAACAGAAGAGGATCCCATAACCCAGATACCCGTTTGGATACCCAACACACATACACCCAACCCTCCACACAACATCTGCTTAGACATCTTCTTCCCAGAAATTAGTTAGTGGTACCAAATAATTTTTTAAGCCTGCCATCCATGCCTGTGTCCAAGTTCTTACAAAAAAGTTGAACAGCACAGACACCTGGGGCCTCCGACTAGAGAGCTCCTTCCAAGCTGGCACTGACCCCTTCATGACTATTTTTTGTGTCTGATCACTGAACCAGTTTCGAATTCTAATTCAACTGCTGTCTAGCCCACACCTCTGCATTTTGTTCATGGGAGAAATACAAGGGACTGACAAAGGTTTGCTCAAATGTAGAAAAGCAAGAAACCATGTGACATGGTAGGCAGAAGCCAGCCTCAGGCAGAAAGAGTTGGGTTCAACACCTATATCTAACAAAACAAGAGCGGGCCGTGGGATTCGGGGCATATCCCTCCCCTCCCCCGTCATCGCAGGCAATCTTCTAAGGCTACAAAGCTGCCAAACAAGAACTGATCTGTGCTGGCAGAAGGGGTTTGCTCTCCAGGACTTCCCTACACCACAAGTCCAGGGGTCCAGTCCCAGCCCTGCCCCCCTCCCAAGAAACAACCCAAGGAACTCTGGTTCTAGCATTCCCCAGATCTTAGATATCAGACTAATATTTCTGGATAACTAACCCTGTGCAAAAAGGGAAATGAGGCTGGTCTCAACACAGTCAGGCTCAGTGGGCACCGCTCCCTCGCTTATTAACCTTAGGTTCTCCCCCGATCCCAGAGAGCTGGGACATCTATCCACTTCGGGGAGAATGGAAGCTCCTTGAAAGCAGGGACGGCAGCACAGTGCAAGCGGCAGTCAATGCCAATCCACTGCCGTTCATTCAGTTGCCTTTTCTTTCCCCATGAAATGACTGGCTCTGCCCACTCAAAGAAACATGTGGATGCCTTTGCTACCTATCCAGCCTCAGGAGCAAGGGCAACCAATCACAGCCAAGCAGGACACCACGGAAATCTAGCTCAACTGCCTGCCAAAGGCCACCATGAGACACTCACCACTGTCACTGGGCTCATCTACCTCTTCTTCGGATGAAGTCACAGCTGGTTTGCCTGAAGCCATAGGATTGTGCCCCTGCCTTGCTACCCAGAATCCAGAAGCAGCAGGAGGGACCATTGGTGACGGAGTATTCCGAGGCTGAAACCAGAAAACACACGTAAGTGTGAGCATAGCAGGTGCACCTTTATCTGGGGTATATAAAGTGCCATGGCATCTTCCCTTATTGACGTGGCTACCTCTCTGACCTAGGGAAGGCTGGTCTGCAGATGAACACAGTTCCCTCCTCAGGCCTTTGGGTTTAGAACTCACCCCAACCTGTGCTCAGTGACAAGGGAGCAGAGGCGGCCTTTACTGGAGGCCGTGCACACACCTGGGAAATGGAATCCAGACCGAGTGTGTAGCTCAATGTGCCTGAGGACCAGCCTGGCCGAGGCCAGAGGGAATCCCCTGCCTCACCAGGTGATGCTTTGGGTCACGGCAACTCACTGACGCATCCACTACAAAAAGGTGGGCTGAGAGTGGCTGTGGTTAGCTTTGCTGCAAGGATCCCTGCCTTGTGGCCCTGGGCCTCGAAAGGGCCCTCAGCAGCCACCCAGCCCAGCTTGCCCCCCTTCTACAGTGTATTTGACAAGAGCCATTCAGCCTTTGCTTAAAGAACCCCAGGAAGCGGGGGTTTCACTCAGAGGCAGTACCGATTTGCAAGTTCTTCCTGACACCCAAATGAAAAGGGCCTCCTCCCTGCAAACCACTGACTGCCACCCCCAATCTTCTCTTCTCCAGGCTACACAGCCCTGGTTCCTGTTACAGCAGGGACTCGAGGTCCCCCATAATCCAGGCTGCCCTCCTTCTGGCTAGCAACTAGCTTGGTTCCGTGGTGCCCAGATTGGTACTAAACCCTCCAGGAGCAACTTGACCAGGGCAGAAGACAGAGGGAGTATCCTCTCCTTATTTCTGGAAGCCCTGGCCCTCTTAACACAGCCCAAGATCACACTGGCTTCCTTGGCCGACATATTACATTGCTGAATATGAGTAAGCTGTCTGTCCACTAAAACTCCCAGCTCTTTTTCAGACAAACTGCTGTCTACACATGCCCCTCCCACCCCGTCCTGGTAAAGTCAACTGAAGCTAAGCGTTGGACTGGACACTTATCTCTAGCAAATTTTATTATCTTCTTAGCTTCAGTTCCATGTTCCAGCCCATCAGTACCTAGCCAAAGTCTCTAACTACATTCCCCCACCAAAATGGAGTCCAGGGACCTGGCCTTGGGTCCCAGGCCTGCTGACTCCCTCCCACCTGTACATCTCTCCAGGTCTCTCTACAGACGAGACGACTTTCAAGGTCTCTTTCTGTCTCTAAGCCGATGACTCCCAAGGCTGGCCGGTGACCCCTCCAACAGTCAAGTTAGTGAGGAAGCAATCACTCACCGCTATAGCTGGGTACGCAGTCTCATCGCCTTCTTCAATTTCATAGTAGGTGATTGTTTCCTCCAGGCCCCGAGGGGCAGCTCCGGTCTCGGGGGGAAAACCGTACTGACATTCCTTATTCACACAGTGCATCTGCCGGCGGCTCCGGCTATAAGAACTTTGGGTAGGAAGGGAGGAGAGAGGGGTAGCAGGGAGAACTCCATTTCCCCTATTCAATTCCATTTCCAAAAGCTCGGCAATTTTTTTTTAAATACAACTCGCTGCTCCCCACTGAAGCTCCCCACATTCCATCTGAACTTCCTTCCTCCTCTCCCTAGGACGTTCACTCACCGGGACCGAAAGGAGAAGTTGTCATAGCTCTGATAGCATCTCTTCCCTGGCCCAGGATAGAAGGTAACTTCAGGAGTGACCACATTGTTTCTATTCATAAATCGAGGCGTTCCTCCTCTGTGAGCAAAGGGCAAAGAGACACTGACTGATGCTCACTGCTGACTGTTAACGATATCTTAGCAGTTACACAGAAAAAAAATGAGGCTCTGAATATCCTTAGCAAAGCCTAGGATCTGGGCAGTCAGTGAGCCCCGAAAGGGGCCACGAGGTCCCATCCACACTGCTGTGCACCCAGGGGACCTCCACTCAAGGACTTGCTGCGTGACCACAGTTTGCCAACATGATTCCCTGCTTAGCACCTTCTCTACGCCTCCCTATTTTGCTGGGCTATTGCTGGCAAAGCTTCTCTGAAGCAGCCATCTGGCACACAAAGTGCCCTCACCCCTCCACTTACCCTGGGCACACATCTCTAAGACAAGTCAAGTGAGAAAGCTAATCAGGACACCTAAGGAAGTGTGCAGAAGCCAGAGAACAACGCATAAGGCAACCCCTTCTGCAGGACGATGCAGCGCGCCCCCAGTGAGGATGGATGGCGCCCACTCCCCAACAGAGGTGCAGACAGCCAAATATAGGGGGGCTTGGCTACCGTGAGGATTCTTCCCATGTGCCAATGCAAACTAGTCAGCACCAAGGCTTCCCTGGTCTTTTTTCTCAATTTGGGGGAGTAGGAGCTAGGCAGAAAGGGAAGGAGGACTGTGTTTTTGAAATGCACAGAAGAGAAGAAAGCACAGACAAGCAGGCCAGCTTTGAAAGTAATCTGATGGATTTCTTCTACATTTAAGAGGCAGGAAAAGACAGCTCATACATCAGAGAGTCCCAATCATGCCCCTCTCTCCCTATTCTACTGTGCTCATGTTAGTTACCGCTGCCAAGTTCAGAACTGTTTAAAAGAGAAAAAGGAAAGACAGTACAAAGGAGCTCAAGAGGTCCTCGGTGGTCCCACCGGGTGATCGTCAGGTCAGACAGGTCATCAGGCCTTACCTGGCAATGCCATAGCCCCGTCCATGTTTCTGAGGTGGTGGCTGCTGGGGACGGAACTGCTCATAAGTCACCATGGTGCCAGTGTTTTGAAGAGGGCACCGAAGAGGAGAGGTGCGGCCAGTGTGGATGCTGTGCTGGAGCCGGGGGGGGAGCATGGACTCACCCCTGCTGTAAGCCACCGTCATGAAAACCTCCTTCCCGCGAACCTTCTTCAGCATCTTCTTCCTGCCCTTCACATCCAGGTCTGCCATGTAAGAGCAGAAAAGGTGGGCTCAGACGAGAACCTCTGGCCCACAATACCCCCCCCCCCCCCCCCCCCAGTCTAAGCTCAGTGTGGGCAGGGCCCAGTACCGGGCCTGGTGGCCAGCCCAGACACTGTTCAAGGATTTGGGATTTTACCACCAAGTTCTAATTTGAAAGATCCCCAACACAGAAATCGGGGCCACTACACTCCGCTAAATCACTTGCAAAACAATTAGGGAAGGAAGGAAGTGAAATATTAAGGGAACAAGGGGGGGTTGAGAAAAGTCTTTCAGATACAAACCCATTTCTGGAACATAGCTGCCCATAACCTTGGGATACAGCCCTCCTGCTCCTCCTCCTCCCCTTCTACTGGGAAACACATTCCAGGAAGGAACAGGCGTCACTTGAGTCACTGGTTTTAAGTTAGACAGCGGGACAACATGCCTGATAGAAAGGGTGGGTGGCACAATGAAGGCTAGCCCCTTTGCCGATTCACTTACCTACTCCCCTCCCCAAAGTCTCATTTCCCACCTCGGCTGCCCGGAAAAGCCTTTGTGCTCCTCGGAAGAAAGGTTCTTTTCCAAAGCAGCAGACATGTTGGGTGCGGACCATGGCACTGAGATGCAGTATAGGTTAAGTTCTCGTGTGTGGAATCATTACTACTGGGGCACAAATGGACAGCCAGAGTCCCCTCCTAACCAAATCTTGAAAGATTTCACAGCCTCAACTTGTTTGTGTGCAGTGTCTGCTCTCGTGAGACCAGGCTTGTACCGAAGCTCCAGGCCTCTCAACATCCAAATTCGGGTCTAAGATCCGGGAAAGCAGGGGCTAGGGTTCACTCAGGTACCATCTTGTCCCTAGTACTGAATGCAACGCCTTACCAGGGCTTCTCCTCCCTTGTCGGTCAACAGAACGTAAGCACCTGGAGGGCAAAGCCTGTGGGAGGTGGTGATACCTATACACCACCCCCAGTATCTAACGTGGGACTTCACACATGGGTAGTAGGTGCTTATAAAGTGTCTGCCCATTGGAAAGTAGGAGCCAATCAGTCCATTGGGTACTCCCAACTTTAAAAAGCAGCAATTTGGGGAATCTGGGCAGAGGAAGCCAAACTCTGTAGTGATAAGCAAAGCTCAGAGAATGAGAATGTTTGGCCATAACTCAGTGGCTACAATACTGGACTGGAAGCTCAGGAGGCCTGGGCTCAAATCAAGCCTTGGGCATTCACTAGCTGTGTAACTCCAGGCAGGTGTCTCACTATGGCTTGGTTTACCCATCTGATAGAACGGGGTAAATTATCTCACAAAAAACAGAAAAGAAAAGGTTCTTACAGTGGAGGGGAAACGGGGGGAGGTGAGAGGGAATGAGTGAATCTTATTCTCATAGGATTTGACTTAAGGAGGGAATAACATACACACTCAATTGGGTATAGAAATCTGTCTTACCCTACAGGAAAATAGGGGGGAAGGGGACAAGAGAGTAGGGGGATGATAGAGAGGAGGGCAGATTGGGAAAAGGGGTAATCAGAAGGAGAGACAGCGTCAAAAAAAAGAATAGAATAAATGGGGGGGCGGGATAGGATTAAGGGAGATAGAGTTAGTTTTCACAGTATGTCTACTACGGAAGCCTTTTGCGTAACTGCACATATATAACCTATATCGAGTTGCTTGCCTTATCAATGGGGGTGGGTGGGGAGGGAGGAAGGGAGAAAATCTGGAACCCAAAGTTTTAAAAACACATGTTAAAAAAAAAAAGTTTTCACATGCAACTGGGAAATAAGAAATACAGGAAATGGGGTACAGAAATCTATTCTGCCCTACAGGAAATAGAAGGGGAAGGGGATAAGAGAAAGGGGGGAGAGATAGAAGAGAAGGCAGAGTAGGGGAAGGGGGCAAGATGGGGTGAAAATTTGGAACTCGAAATCTTGTGGAAGTAAATGATGAAAAGTAAAAATAAATAAATTTACTAATAAAAAAAGGCAAAAACAAATAAAAATAAAAATAAATAAAAATTTAAAAAGGGGGCAGCCAGGTGGCACAGTAGATAAAGCACTGACCCTGGAGTCAGGAGGACCCGAGTTCAAATCTGGCCTCAGACGCATAACACTGACTAGCTGTGTGACCCTGGGCAAGTCACTTAACCCCACTGCCTAGCCAAAAAAAAAAAATTTAAAATTAAAAAAATTAAATAGCGTTAACAATATCAGTGCAAGCTACCTCAAAGGGTCGTTAGGGGCCTCACATGAGGAAAGGTCTTTTAAGCACTTGGGCCAATGTGTGGTGTTGAATGTCAGTGAGTAGCTACTACCATAGGGTAGAAAGCTGGCCCCAGGCTGCCCACTCACTTCTCTGCAAGCTCCTCGATGAAGACCGTGGCTGAAGCGTTGTCATCGCCAACTTCCTGGATGTGTGCACTGTAATACCGCCCACCTGGCTCTAATCGAACCTGAAGAGGAAAGGTGGGTGGGACCAGTCTCAGGCACGGATAGCTAGAGCTTTGGTCCCTTCTGCCCCAGCAGGCCCAGCCCAGAGATGCCACTCAGGACCCAGACGCACACTGGGGAGAAAGTTGGAAGCAGAAGGCAGGTGTGGAAGAGAAAGCATCCGTGCTGGGCCCAAGTTAGGCGCTTGTCCTTCAGGGCTCACCACAAAGGGCCTGACAGGCTGTTGAGGTTTGATAAGAATCAACAGGGCCAATAAGATGAAGGAATTGGTATTATTTTCCACCATGGATGTGGCTCAAGTTATCTGAAAGTGAAAAACTGGGCCCTGCAATTGATTTCCTAATTTTAGGTGATCCTTCCATTTAGTGACGAGTGAACCTTCAGCTTGGCCTTAAGGCCATGAGGTAGCAGGGCTTCTACTTCTTTCATGATGCCCAGCTCAGTCCAGCTGCATCAGTGAGCTCTTAGCTTAGCTGGTGAACTGGATGCATTCTCTGCCCACCCACTGACAGCAGAGTTGGCACGAAGGCAAGCAGGGCTCTGAGCACTACAATTGGCCCTGGGACAGGCCAAAAGCCTGACAGTGACAGCGGGCCCGCTGCCTGTGGAGCATGGTGCTAACCTACCTGGCACTTGTCTCCCAGACAGTAATGTCTCCCAGCAAACACCATGTAGGCTGATCTCTGCAGTTCTGCAAAGCAAATGAAGAAACAGAGAAAAAAAGTTAGATGAAAGCAACGCAGCCGTGCCCAGTCCAGTGGCCCCCTCTGGGGTCTCTCCAGCTGGCTCAGTCCCTTCTGGACATGGGGGACTAAGAAATGGGAATTCTGCATCATAGGTTCCTCAGGACTAAAATGGGGGTAGGCATCCTTGCAATGCCTCCCTGATGAGGCTGCTGCAAGGCTAAGGGGAAGCCCATAGGCCTTGGGGGGAGGAGGATGCCCAGGGTACCCACCTTTCCTGTTGTCCAGCCAAACATCAAATTCCACGTTGCGGTAGATCTCTGGGTCCAGAGCTTTCATCACTTTGTAGGGGAAAGGCATCTTGGACTGATTACCTGCAAACTGAAACAAGATTCCCAAATAACTTGAGCAGACCACTCCAAGACATCAACTCCCTCTCCATCCTGTTTGTCCCAGTTTCTAGGGCAAATGTCTAGGTAGCGTACATCTTCCCCTTACTGCTCCTTTAAAAGGAGAGGCTCTCTGCATACTGACACCCAGGAACCCAAAGAGGGGCCAAAGGCAACCACATGAAGCAGCTGAGGATGGAGAGTGACAGCCACACTGGGGTCCACTCGGGACGCTGGCCTGCACACCAAAAGGTGACAAGTCCTCCCTTTCCATTTGGCTAGCCCAACACACCCTGGCAAGTCAGCCTTTAGATTTCATACCGACACCGAGGCTTTCCTGGGGCCTGCTCCATCGTTATCACTAAGGCCACTTGCTACTTGGGCATGGATACCAAAGATATCCACAGACGTGGAGTAGAAGGGCATTTGGGGACTTCGTTCAAAGCCTCACACTACAGAGAAGGAAAAGGAGGCCCCAGACAGGGGCAGTGATTTGCTCTTGGTCACCAAATATTTGAGCTTCAAGAGACTTCAAAAAACATTTGGTCTAACCCTTTGTTTTTACAAAAGGAAGGAACTGAGGCCCAAAAAAGAGAGTTAACAGTATCACACACAGAGTCCTGTTAGAGAATATTAAGGCTTGAAGGGATTAGTTTAATGGCCTTGTTTTAGAGAGGGGATAAAGGGAACCCAGACAGGAGCTGTAACTTGTCCAAGGTCGCTCATGAAAGTGGTGGGGATTTTAACCCAATTCCCTCATTTAACAAAAGGAAAACCTGAGCCCAAGGAAGGTCAAGGTAGCCTAGGTCACATGGATGGTCAATAACAGTGTCGAGATTTGACCCCACACCCAGACTCCAAATCACTGCGCCATGATGCCCTATTGGGAGAAGGCTTGAGAAAGGAGTATCTAATGAGCTTCAGAAAATCAAGAGCAAATTATAGAATTTTCTAGATTGGGATTCTCGAATAGTACAGAAAGCAGAGCTGTGGAAGATAAATGGAAAAGTTTTAATTACAAAGGCTCTAATGATAAACTTGGGGGTTGGCTGCATTTATAATGAGGTTTTTCAATTGATTTTAGGAAGGAGTTTCAAAAATGCTTGTTACAGGGCCAGGGGAACCCTGGGTTTGTTCCCAATATTTTTTTTTTTCCATTTAAACAACAAAGTAGAGGTTTGGAGGCTGAAAGGTCAGTGAAGGGTTGGAGTCTCAAGCCAAATATGATCTCTGAGGAGAAAAAGTGTCAACCAAAGAAGACCAGAGGCTTTGCGTCAGGTAACCAACCTTTCCTTCCTCTGTTCCGTGCCTGTACCTATCAGAGAGGTACTCGTGGCCACTGGTGGTGCTCAGGCCCCAATTGTTCATCCTGCTCAATCAGTAAAGATAAAGTTCAGTTAGGCTTGTCAGCGTGAGGGAAGAGCAAGCCTCATCGTCTAAGCGGAAGCCATGGTGTACGGCGCCATCTGCTGGTTCTCCAGCAGGAAGAAGTCAAGTCTTTAGCACCACCCTTCAACTTCCTCCCGACCCCAAGGACTGTGGCGCCACCTAGTGACAAACCACAAGTAACCCAGGACAGGTCGGCTGCCTGAGGGCCGGACAGTCTATCACAATTGGGAAGTGAAGACAGGGCTATTGATCTGCAGGTACAAAGAGTCGTAGAAGCCACGGCGTCTGATCACCTCATGTTACACGGAAGGAAACAGGCATTGGCTGCCCCAAGTCACACGGCAAGTGTGTGGCAGAGTCAAAATTTGAACAAAGGCCTATCCTCCAGCTCCTCACTGTGAGAGCCCCTGGAACCATCTCGGGACCCCCTAACATAAAAAGTCATCCTCCTGGGGCGGGTGGGGAAGATCACTCTGCTAAGCCACGGACTGGCCAGCAACTTCCTGCTCAGGCAGGAAATCCCAGAACAACAGGGTCAGGGAGTCCCCTTTCCCCCTCTTTGAAAGAAGGGGCATGACTATGACTAGTACAAAATGAACTGTAGAGATCCGACCTGTCATCACTCCCCGCAGAGATACTGTTTCTGTTCTTCCTGGCAGTGCCACGGAATATCTCAAGAGCAGCTTTCAACTCTTCCCCATCCACACCAAACACATCCTTGTAGAGAATCTCATAGAGTACAGCTGAGAGAGGAGAAGGAGCAGATCCCTTTCATTGTCAGCATCGCGCCTCCCCCCAACACGAGCGCTACTGCCACTGAAGCCAGCATCACTTTCCAGGCACCATCCGTTGGACTTGCCGCCCCCCTTAGCAAATAAACGGAAAAGGGACCAAGGTCACTAAAGCCCTTACATACCCTGGCAAACAGCGGCATCAGCCTGAAATTGCTTGGTGTACACGGAATCATAATGCCCATTACCGGAACAGCAGAGCATGATCTAAAAGGGGTAGGGGGAAGAGTATACATGTAGCACAATTGCATTAACGCCACGTCACACTCAGCCAGCCACCACTGGCCCCAAAGCCCAGGGCAGCTTCTGGGAAGGCCATGCAATGAAAGACCTTTTGCCAGAATGACAACACTGTACCTCAGGACATGAAGCTCTATGCACCCAGTCAAAACCCAATCTTGGCCTCCCAAGAGCTCAAGATGCCCAAGGATCCCCATCAGCCCAAACAGAGACTGCCCTGCTGACAATTCCAATATACCAGGAGAACGCCGTATAGTCTGGGCTATAGGAGAGTATCTGATGAAGTTTCTCATACCCTTGTGGATAGGAAAGATTAAGAGCTGTGAACTAGAGAGCTGGATACATGTGGAACTGACCACAGTGGCCAGACCCAAAGAAGGTCAGTAATGCGTAGGTCAATGTCAACTTGGAAGGCGATATCTCTAGCAGACTCTTTCAAGGATCTGTCTCACCATGGGCTATTAACATTCTTATCAAGGATTCAACTAAAGGCACAGATAACACAATTAGCCAGTTTACAGATGAGACAAAGCTGAGGAGGGCCAGCACTTTAGAAGCAAGTTAAGATTAACAAAAAGCTCACCAGCTTGGAATGACCAAATCTAACATGATCAAATTAAATGAGGCTAAATATTGTGACCAAACCACTTGGGTTTTTTTTTTTTAATCATCACAAATGGGGGGGGGCAGACTTCAGTATATCAGTTTATCTGAAAAAAGATTTGAGGGTCTCAGTGAGTCAAGGATGACATAACAGCCCCCAAAGCTGGTATGATCTTAGGTTTCTTAACAAAGGGAGAGCACAAGACTAGGGAAGTACACAGCTACTCTCTACTCTTGGCCCTGATCAAATAAATCCTCTATGACCCAGACAGATTAGGGTTTTAAACTGAGGGGGCCATTGGCAAGAAGGCAAGTGTCCAGAGAAGGGTCATCAGGACTGCGAATGGCCTCGAGATCCTATCCTCTGAATCGATCCTCTTAGATTCTGACTAACGCCCTCGTCTTACAGAAGAAGGAACAGAGCCCCTGCGAGGTCACAGGATTCGCACCCAAAGCTGCATACATGGTTAAGGCCAGACTTTTGAGCCCACATTTCCTGCCTCCAAATCCAGCAACTTTTCCATTGGTTAAAGGAATTGAGGATGTTTAGTCTAAACAGAAGACTTCTAGGGCAGGTGAGACACAAGAGTGGTCACATGGGCCAGCCAAGTCAAACTTGACCCCAGTGGACAGAACTTTGGACAAGGTCTGGGAAAATACAAAATTGAGAACCAACTTGCTAATGATTCAAGCTGTTTAAAAGCGGAAAGGACTGCCTTATGAGCTACTGGGCTCCCCCCCTCACCAGAAGCCAAAGGACCACTTATCAAGGAGAATGGAAGACAACATCCTTTTTCAGGTATGCGCTGGACCAACTGCTCTCAGAGGGCTGTAACACTTGTCATTGTGTGTGCGTTCGTACGTGTGGGTGTCTCTGTCTGTATCAAGAAGACACTCCACTGGAAAGTCTGACCAAAGCTGAGATCCCCAAAGCTCCACTTCCTACTAGGATATACTGGATTTTCATGAAGGCCAGGAGGCAAGTCAAATGCCCAAGGAGATCTAAGTCAGGCTGGGTTTGGGGAACCCTGGCCACACTGCCACATACCTACCACATGCTGGCAACTGGGCTGCTAATCCCCCAAAATCCAAGAGCAGAGGACACATCGAGATTTCCAGGCCTTCACTAACTTTTCAAACCTTGACTCTGGGAGACTTTTAGGAAATTAATAGGTAACTTTCTTATAATCGGCTTTCACAACCCCCAACTTGCTCAAAATGGCAATTCAAAAGGTCAAGCTGTCTCTGTAATCCAAACATTCTTCCCTGCTTGCTTGTAACAAATCTAGCTTGACTTGGTTCACCCTTATTGAAATGCTATGCCAAACGTTGGCTTCAGTGTTAAGGGACTAGGGTGGAGGCGGCTGGGAAGTGAAGCAGCCTTCTAAAGCATTAAACATTGGGAGGGCCCCCACCAATGTGATGCCCAGGCCCTCCAGGCTCTCACTCACCTCTTGGTAGACCCACATGTTCCCCTCCCCCCCTCAGCCATCTTCAGGCAGTCCAAACCCCCCAATGCAGCACTCCCCCCACATCTGTCCTCCCCCCAGGGCCCCCGGATCTCTTGCCCTTTTCCTAACCTCCAATCAAAATTCCCATTCCCTCCTCAAGTCTACGGACCTCAGAAGAAAGCAAAAGTTCATATGTTCTAACCCTATTTCTTAGGCTAAGTATAATCATGGGAAGAACTAAAAGGCTTCCTTCACAAAGGCACAAAAAGCCCATACGCAATTCTGGTAGTTGTGACTGCCTTGGGTTTCTCTTCCCAACGCTATGGACCTATAACCAGAGCCCTACTGGTCTGGCCTTCAATCACTTTAAGGAATGAGCCTTGCTCCTTAGTAGAATGTTAAGGACAGTGATAGGGACAGGACCTCAGTCCAGGCTGGGCACTCCCAGGGAAAGAAACTCTCTCTACTTAGGTCGGGAAATGTAAAGGCATCTACAATATGGCAGAGGAGGTGGCACCAAGGCTAGCTCTGCTCTCAATGCCACCCCCAGCTCCCTCTAACAAAATGGAAGGCAGGTTCATTTTAGACACTTATCCAATGGAACATTCTAACTAGCCTTGATAAACCAGCTTGTCTTAAACAATTCCATATGGGAAGAAAAGATGTCAATGGAGCCATCTTCAATGACTGTTCTGCACCTTCAGCCCTCATCACTTGGGTACCTAAAGCAGGTTTACCAAATTTCAAAAAGGCTTTATTCCTTAGCCTCCCGGTGAGCCTATAGTATCACATCCATTTCTCCCTAAAACAAGAAGGACGCCCTCATTTCCAGTTTTTACCTTGTCTTCATAGCCATTATCTGTGACATAAGTCGGAGGCTTCCCAGGGTGCCGATAGAGAATGAAGTCTCGACTGGATGGGCAGAGAAATGGAAGGAGGAAGGGGTGAAAGGAAAACCCTCATGGTGTGCTCTACACAGACACAAGGACTTATACGTAAGCAAAAGTGTCTCCAAGCCATCAAAGCAGCAACTTGGCTGGAGAAAAGCTATTGGCTACATTGTACCTCTCTCCCTTAAGTCAGATGCCATCAAGAAATAGCAAAACTCATTTCAAGAGCAGTTAGCACTAGACAAAGCCATGCTCCTAAATGGCCAAGGCAGGCAGTATCTGAGAGCTGACTGTCCCTGAAGGCCTACAGGGCCTTTCAAGTGTCCTAATTGGGAGGAAAATGTAGCATATCTGACCATTCAGGAGAGAGAGAGAGAGAGAGTGTGAGTGTGTGAGTGTGTGAGAGTGTGTGTGTGTGTGTGTGTGTGTATGCATGCAAGCGTGAGTGTGCCCATCTACAACTTCCCTGACAGGAGGCAAAGACACACACACATTGATGCTTGTGCGTACCCAACACAAGAGTCCTTACTCTTACTTACACAAGGGCCCATGAAGTTGTCCCTTCAAATTAGATCCTTCGAAATGTTCCATGGAACTTGGGGGTACAAGGGTCCAGATGACCCAAGACCCCTGGACAACAGAAGGGGCTCCAGGGCCTCAGTTTGGGTGATGAGATTATTAGTAATTGCTCAAATGTGCCAAATCTTGGGCTCACAGATTCAGAAGGGGCCAAGGAACCTCAAGGTCATCTAGTCCAGCACCTCCATTTTAAAGGAGAAGCAACTGAAACTCACAGGCCAAAGGACTTGTCCAGGGTCTCAGAGCTGCTTGAGATTTCGACCTGGAAGGGCCCTCCAACGTCATCTAGTCCAATCACCTCAACCCACGGAGGAGCAAACCAAGGCCCATGCTAGGAAAGGGCCATGTAGGGAGCAGATGACCCAGCCAACATACACATTCCAAAGGCAGCGTGATTTCCATCGCCCCGTACTGCTCCTACCAAGGTTTAATCATGGACTCATCTGGGGCCTGGCCCCAATCTCGAGGGGACACTCTCCCCCCCCACCCCTTGCTAGACCCCCGACAATCTGCTCCCGAGCCTGATAGCAGATCCTGGCGAGACAATTTTAAAGGCCCCAAGCTTGTCCCCTCTCACAGCAGGGAGCTCTGTATCCCACTGAGCACCTCTTGTGAGACTCCAAGCTTGCCTTGTTGGGACATCCATGCCATCTCCCCAAGGTCAAAATTCTCCTAGGCTGAGGGTTCTCATTTCTGTGAGCTAGACAGGCTTTCATCTAAGGAATGCCAGCCATGCCAGCCCCAAGGCAGGTGTAGGGACTCGGGCCAATCACCTTGTGTGACCAACTATCTCTGGCCCAATACACCTTCATACAGTTACAGTCTGGCTAAAATGAATGTGATGACCGTCAAGGGCCACCTCCAAAGGGAAAAGTATCGACTAAAAAAAGGCCAGCCTCAAGTGTGCCCAGAGCGGCTGAGAGGGGAGAAGTAGTGCTCTATGCAGGGGTTTGGGGGACCTTTCGGAGAAAAAGGTTTTCTTTTAAATAAGCCAGATTCTGGTATCACACGATTTAGAGCTATAAGAGACCGTAGCTATTCTCCAGCCTTCCTCCCCATTTTAATAAAGAAACTGAGGCCCACAGAGGCAGAGTGACTTACCCAAGGTCATACAGCTAAGGAGGATGGTTGTCTCTCTCCCCCTCCCCCCAAACAAGATGGATGAGGTCCTGGAGGGTACAAGCCTAGCACGGTGCAAGGTCCCCAGTGAGTGCTTCCCAAATATGTGCTTGCTTATATTGGTGGGGTAGGAGAGCCAGGATCTCACTCCCCCCTCCCAGGCAGTGCCAGGAGCTCGGGAGAAGAAGGGAGGAGCCCAAAGCATTAGCCTGGGCACCAGGCCATCGGAGGGGGCTGTAACTGGACCCAGGAGGTATGTACTTATGTACTTCTTGACCAATGCATAAGAACTGTAATCGTGAGACTGGCACAGAATGTCATGCCCCTCAACAAGAGACATCCTACACCCCCCTTGTCCCTAGCCAAAAAAGACCTATAACCCATAGATCTGAAAATCTATATTCTGTGGTTTAAAAATAACAAAAAGATTACAGGGATCCAAGTGTAGAGGGCTAGGCACTAAGCTACCCCTAGAACCCTCCAACTCCCCCCAAAAGATGTATTTTCCCATCCTGAAGGATTAACCTGAGAAGCCAAGTCTATCCCACTACCCCCAAATGGCAAATGAACTCCATGAGAAGACTGCAGAGGCCAGACTGAGGTAACTGGGGTGCCTTGGGGTCCCACTAGGGTGATCACCAATCCAAAAATCTCCCACGTGCCAGGAATCAGAAAGGAGGGGGAGCAGAAACTTACTTATAAATGAGAGAAAGGGCTCTTAACTCCAGTTGGCCAGCACTTTCCTACGGAGAAACAGGACACACAGCCTCTGGTGGTCTATGGTTTTTCAAGCACTTTTGCAGCTAAAAGCCTCCCCCCTCGAAGTCAAGTATTTTGAGACTCTTGGTGCAACCCTTCATCTCTAAATCCCGCTTTTGCTCATTGAGATTGTACTAGAAGCCAAGTGGAGGGCTCCAAGTTTGGAGCTGGGTGCTAGGATCAGAGATTTTAGAGGTGGGAAAATCCTTAGAAGTCATCATCTAGTAGTCCAAACCTTCCATTTTCCAGAACAGAAAACGGAAACCCAGCAAGGGGAAGGGATTGCTGCCCTCTGGTCACTAACATTTTCCAGTTATGAAGAAGTTATCATGATGAAGGGCCCAAACACCTCCCTAGGACATTATTTTCAATTATCAAGTCAAGGTGGATATATTCAAGATAGATTTAAAAAAAAACTATTCTGAATCCTATACACTAAGGGACTTTTATATTAATAAATTCTCAAAACGGGACAATTAGGTCAGCTGTCAACTTCTTAAAATTTTTCCAAGAAATACATTTGATTCCAACAGCTGTTTTGTTTTTTTTTTTTTTTTTTTTAAAGCCTCTACATATTTCCTTAAAGGGCCAGAGCTGGAATGCTCAGGCTCTGGCACTCTCCTCCCAAATGCTGCCCTCCCCGCCCCACGCCCACCCTCCAATCTTTCAAGGGCCCTGTGAATAGCAAAGCTGGGAGAACAATATTTGGCCTTACCTTGGGATCTCCCAACCGCTCCAGGTACTTTTCAAAAGACCCTTCCACGTACTTTGAAAATAAAACAAATTTAACTTTAACCAGCTCCGTGGCACTCATTACTAGTACTGAATATTACACTATGCAAACCCTAAGCAAGAGTTAATGCTGGTCTGCATTTCAACTCCTAGAACACATTCACTTTGCTCAGCCCCACAGTCCTAGAGCTAAGAAGAGGTGATTACACTTGGCACAGCATCTCATGGGGTACTTAGAAAAAGTTAAGGGGGGGGGGGCCGCGCAGCAGTGTGCTAGCAATGACTCCTGAGCAGCTTCAGAGCCAGCCATCTCGGTCTCATATATGGGAGGTACTTCACATTTCTTCAGAGGCCTGCCTTTTTTATTGGTAACCTCAGAAATGCCAATTTTTCAAATAAACATCAGGCTACCTCCATGTGAGCTGGAAAACCCATCTGATGAGTGAGCCTGGGAAGTCTGGCCTCATTAATTCGGTTAGGGGACAACCTCAGGGTCTGAAGTTTCCAGCAAAATCAGACAGTACAAGGACAGGAAGACAACATTTAGTCCGACTTGTGCCATAGGACCAGGTCTGGGAAAGCTGAAAGGGATCTGCAACCTCATCCTCTCTTCTTGTTTTACAGATGAAGAAACTGAGGCCTAGAGAGTGACTCGCCCAATGTCACACAGCTAATGATCGGCAGAGCCTGGCTCAAGCTGTGTCATTAACAAACTGCCCTTTCTACTCCGGTCTGACATCAGTTGTTTTAAAACTAGTTACGACACTAGGTCAGGTTTTCCTTAGCTCCAGCAATGTCGCCTAGTCCAGGTATGATGGACCTCTGTAAAATGGCCCAGTCAGCTTTACATTTAAATCAATCTGACTCTGAGAAAATCCCAAGAGCTTGGCTGCCCTGTGTCTGAAAGAAGCAGTCAAGGGAAGGAGGAGGAATGGTGATGCTTATACTGATCCTTAATGGCCAAACACAAGCGGGAGGTCTTTGCTTTTTGGTCTGTGGGGAGGTTTTTTCAGTTCTATGTCATTAAAAGCTAAGTAAGGGCTTGGGCTAAGATGTGGCCCCTCCTGGCATTTTTTTTTTTTTTTGGTCCACTTGGGTTCCCAACACAATTGTAAAATTTGCATGTGTTCTATTTTATCCCACAAACAAAAGGGCTATCTGCTTCACTTTTTACCTGTGCCCAAAGAAGGCAAGATGGATCTAACTCCTAATTGAATATGCCCAGAATTTTCAACAGCCAACAAAAAATTCCCAGGGTCCCTTTGCAAAGGCTTTCTTGGCTAAACTATAGAAGTAGTAGGAGTATAAAATACACATGGTAAAGCAGTTTAAAAGTCTGCTCACCCAGGAAACACCCCGATCAGATCAAAGCCTCCTAGAGCCATCAATGAGTACCCTTCTATCAGGACATGGATCAGAAGTGGGCTGACCTGGGCCAAACGCTTTAGGGGAATGGGGCCAGTTCCCAGGGTTTATTATGTACAAGGCCAGATGTTCAGAACTAATTGTTTCCTTACAAGTAAATATCGGCCTATCTCCATACAGATGTTCTCAGAAGTTGCAAGAAGCTAAGGTTGGCTCAAGAAAGTGGGCCCTGGGAAGGGGCGTCACTTGTCGCCAGCTAGCAGCTAGCGAGGTGCTTCCCCTTTCCTCTATTTCCCAGCATTTCTCAAGCACAAACCGCTATCGATCTAAACGGAGAGCAGCCAACAGGGCAGACTGACCTTCCCAACGTGACTTTATCGACACTGACTTTTAAACACCCACCACCCAATAACTAGCTGATCTCGGGCTGGGCATCAAGATCGGCATCAGGACAGGAGGATTCCAAGCCCTGGAAAGTGGAGCCACGTGGAAGAGCAGATGGGAGGAAAGCTGCAGGACTTTCTGAAGACCCCCTCCCCGGGCGGGCGGCCCCCCCCTGCCTGTCCCACTTACAGATTCAAAGCTGTGCTGGTTTTCTCTCATGAAGGCGACGCAAGCCTTCCTGATTTCCAAATGGTGAACCTGGCTGCAGAACAACTGAAGGAGAGGAGGGCACTTCAAAGGCGGGCCCCCTCCGGCGCTGGGCGGGTGCGGGGGGCAGCAGAGGGAGCCGGAGCCGGTCCGAGGCGGGCCGTCCAGGCAGCACGTTGGGCGAGCGGCCTCGCGAGGCCGGCCCCGGCTGCCCACCGTGAGGCGGAGAGGGAGGCGGGGGGGACGGGGGG